GGTCAAAGTTTTCAGATGTACAATCTAGTTTTGCGAGCGGTGAATGCGCGAGGCACCTGGGGGGGGGGGGTCTGTCCCCCAGGGTGTCTGTCCCCACGAAATATTTATATTTAAACCTCAGAAACGCCATTTGCAGCACTCTGAAAGCAGCTTCAACAAAAAATTAACCTCATGAATTGGGAGATAATTATAGCAATTATCAGTCTCACTGACTCTCACAACTCGCTCCTTAGGGAAATTTAAAAGTGAAGTACTTGCAGAAATGTGATAAGTGTGGAAGATGTTTCATTTTATCAAATTACGGATTGCTAGTATTATGTTTAACTAACTCATGATGGTATTACACTCATTTATGTTGCCTAATAGCCTTGTTGAGTCATTGATCACTTGACTAGTAATCACTACAGTGTCATATTACTCAAATAAACGTATATCAATATTAAAGTTCGAACATTCATCAATAAAACCTGACCTTTAGATCTTATGTATGCTGCATTAATGCATTTATATCGGTTATCCTCAATAGCCTCCTGAGTTCTGATGGTCCTTCAACCGCACAAATATGCAAATTTGTTGTGTAAATCAAAATTCATGGCTAAATCAAAATACGCGTATTTACATATGCGTGGCGTGCATCTTGTTCGCTTATAAATATTGTTATGCTATCTAAAACGAAATAAAATTTACATATCACATTAAATTTACCTTATTGCACTTCAGAATAAAGATCTCGGCGCCAATACTTCTGCTCAAACAGTCAAACTGTAGTTCGTGCTACTCATAGCGCCTAGCAACTGCTCACTTAATCGAACTCTCCGATATTTAGCGTCGATTTTCCTCCCAAGATCAGCGCAACAGTCTTGTAAGACAGCTAAATCATTCACCGCAAATGCGGATTCAACCGTTTCATGAATACTAGAAGGATGGGAGCAGCAGACATTTCTGAATTTTCCGTAGATATATATCTTTAAATTGAATCTTTCGACAAAGCTCCAACATGACACTTCGAATGAGCGCACGCTCGGAAAGACTTTACCACGCGTGAAATATAATATTAATGATATTCAGACTAATGGGGCGCCCCTGACTTTTGTAAATCGGTCAGAACTCCCCACAGATCAGTCAAATTTGCAAAAAATCGCTTGTTTCCATGGAAATAAGCGTCTAGACCAATCAGAACACTGGATTTTGACTTTTTGACTGACCGACTTTGCGTATGTCAGCTGCTCATTGACTTGACTAAGCTCGTCGGCTCAGCCACTGTATGAAATTTGATCACTGGACTACAGTTCAATTGGATGTTAATTGCTAGCGCTGCATGATAAAAAATAACTGGACTATTGGTCGAATATTTAATGCTTTAATTATACTTTAATTAAGATTGTAATTTTTACGTTAGTCGCGTGACTGGTTTGACAAACCCTAGATCCGCCCGTGCCGTGGGCATCTCAGCAATTCTATCACAACAGGAACCAGGTACGAATGATCCTAAAATTCAGTTGCATATGCAAGCAGATCCTTAACAGACACCGAAACACGTTATTCACAAACAGAAAAGGAAGCTTTAGCAATAGTTTGGTCTGTCGAACATTTTCATTTGTTTTTATATGGTAGCCAATTCACTCTAGTTACCGATCACAAACCGTTAGAAGTGATTTATGGAAGTCGAAAGGCGAAAGCTTCAGCAAGAATCGAGCTCTGGATCCTTCGACTTCAGCCATACTCGTTTAAAATTGTTTATAAGTCGGGCGCAGATAATCCAGCCGACTATTTATCGAGACATTCAATCAACCCCAATTCACGAAAGCAAGAGAAAATGAGCGAGGAATATATTAACTTCATTGTGCATAATGCGGTCCCTGCAGAGCCATGACTCTGGATGAAATAATAAAAGCGACCAATTCGGACAGTACATTAAAAGGTCTCCGTGCAGCTATACGACTCAAGCGATTGGACTCACCTGTAGTACAATCCTTTAAATCGATAAAGGATGAATTGACTGTCACGTCCCATGGAGTAATTCTTAGAGGAACCAGAATTGTAATTCCAAAATCTTTACAACAAAGAGCGATAGACATAGCTCACGAAGCACATCTTGGAGTTGAAAAGACCAAAAGTCTTGTTAGAGAAAAGATATGGTTTCCCAAGATGGACACAATGGTGAAAAACACAATAGAACGATGTGTTCCATGTCAAGCAGTTGGGCGAGCGAATGCACCTGAGCCAATAGCAGCAACAAATATGCCAAAACACCCCTGGAGAGTTTTACATGTCGACTTCTATGGCCCTCTGCCATCGAATGACTACCTACTGGTGGTGATTGACCGGTACTCAAGATTTCCAGACGTGGAAATCGTCCGTTGTACAAAAGCTTCAGTAGTGATACCGAAGCTTGATAAAATATTTGCTGTGCATCGCATCCCAGAAGTCTTAAAGTCAGACAATGGGCCACCGTTTAATGGAGATGAATATAAGCAGTACTTAAAGTCACTGGGAATCAAACCCGAGTTTTCTACTCCATTATGGCCTCAAGGCAACGCCCAAGTTGAGAGATTTATGCAACCCCTGGAAAAGCACTCAAAACAGCCAAAATCGAAGGTCGCCCATGGAAGCAAGAGCTCAATAGATTCTTGCTACAGTATAGGACGACACCACAAAGTACTACCGGTGTTCCTCCGGCTGAACTACTCTTTAATCGGACGGTACAAGGCAAGTTACCCATTCTTCACAGGAAGAACATTGTGAACCGACATAAGGAAGCTCGTGAAAATGAAAACAAGCGACAGAAGTATAACGAAAGATATGCAAACGAAAGGAGGAATGCAAAGGAAAGTGGAATCAAAGAGGGAGACTATGTGTTAGTGAAACAACCTAAGGCAAATAAACTAACGCCAAATTTCAATCAAACACCTTATGTTGTTATCTATAGGAACAAAACAGTAGTTCGAGCTAGAAATAAAGATGGACACGAAATAGAACGAAATGTTTCACATTTTAAAAAGATACCCAAACCCAGCAAAGATAATGAAGATACGTCAGAGGAAACCGACGATTTTAGTACAGAGAGTAACAATCAGCGTATTCCAGAGGAAACAGTACAGTTTAACATGAACGACCGTAATAACAACAATCGTGGTAACGGTATGAATATGCACCCACGACGGTCCACAAGAGTAAGAAAGCAACCCGAAAGATACGGACAAACATTACCGTCAAACATTGTTACGTGACTTTTATTAAAGTAATAACTATAGATAAATTAGTATTAATTTGTGATATGGACACAATTTATATTCGAACAGTTAAAACATTTATGTTTTGTTAAAACAAAGGGAATGGTGTAGTGATGTCATAGACTTGAGTGACAGATATAGTCATGTGACCGGAGAGCACATGGAATCATTAGGATTAGTATTTTGTAGCGTGCAGTTGATATTAGAAATAAACTATGTAAAAGAGAATACAAATATTATAATACGTATCTTAATTCGCCGACGGACGTGTGCCGCCTGTGGAGTGCCCTCTAGTTCTGTGATAATATCGGGAGGAAATGTGTTTGTTGGGAAAATGCTGCTCTTGCCCGCTGCTTTCCATAAAATATACGCACTTTGGTAGGTAGTGATTCTAATTGATTGTGGGCAAGGATTGCCGAAAAAAATGTGGCAGAGATTGACCATTAATTGAGACCTTTATTGACCGGCCAATGAATAGAGTTATAAAAAGGTTCACCCGGCGCCATATTATGTGGTTTTAAGCACGAATCAGAAGGGGATGAGAGTGCATGAGAGTTGGCAGTCACGCGACCTTGGTCAGCTGTTCTTTATGCTTTCCCAACACTATCATGTATTTTATTTAAGTTAAAACATAGTTGGAACACTCATCAAACCTTTATTTTGTCCATCTAGAGCTTGAAATTCCCCCTGTGACTGTGCGTGACTGGCAACTCTCGTTAACTCTCATTCTCGTTTCACTGCCACTTAACTGTGTCATTGTCATAAATTCAGAACCACCTTGTGCGACTGCAACGCAACAATATTCTTCAAAAATATTGCTCGTGTATTGGATGTTTAATGCACAAAGGTGCGTGTTATTTCAATATAGTTAATTCTCGAGAAGAAGTCGCTCGAGGATGGAATCTTATTATTTTATCAACCTGATATTCATATCTGCTATGAATGTATTCTTCTTTTTCTCAGGAATATATATTTGTTTTCCCTACAAGTCCAATAAGGATTATCTTATATTGATCTAGTGTTACTACAAGAGGAAACCTAAGCTAAACTATTTTATATTTATTGCATAGATAGCTCTATCATTTCTAAATCCGTATGATGAACGCGTTCTGTCTTGTATACAGCAGCCACTACCCTGCAACTCGTATTTGTACATCTTATGTAACACTGCCTTTCATGCGGTATTTTTTACGTATGATACACATTGCATGTACTTATAAAATACGAAATATTTTGAAACACACCAAGACACAGAAACATGCTATGTCTTCCTTATATTAGTATTTTATGATAATGAAATGTATATAGTTTACTTGTATGTATGTCATTTACACCCTTGAGTACTTGAACTTCAGGTGTCATATTTAAACAGTAAACACAACAGTTTTATGTTTAACTCTTCAGAAGAAGTCGCTCGAGGATGGAATCTTATTATTTTATCAACCTCATATTTATATTTGCTGTGAATGTATTCTTCTTTTTCTCAGGAATATGTTTAAATTCCTTGGTCATACTCAGTTTCTGGAGATCTGTACAACTTCGAAAGAAATTATGTTATTTCATGATAATGGTTTTGTCCTGTTGCGATTTGCTCGCGGTTTTAACTAATAATCCATTGTTGGCGTTTATCACAATGTCATGGCTGACGGGAAAGTTGGATGGAAATGCTAGATGGGCTCATATTTTCTCAAAATCGACAAGTATTTTCCTTTGTTCTTCGTATTTCGCTCTTTTGGTGATGAATTTGGATAGATATTTGGCGACATCTTATCCTATCTTTCATCGAACGTCGGTAACGAAGGGAAGACTTTTAACTCTGCTTGCAATACTGATCATCGTCCAAGTAATTTTGATATCGCTATTTGTAAACGACTTTTTTGTTTCCTATCATTTACATTGTCTAATTATTTCTATTCTTGTCATGCCTGCAATGTTGTTTATCAACTACAAACTGTTTCTAGTCGTCAGGAAAAGTCGTAAAAACAAAAGAATATCGCCCGATATGAAAAAGACGTTTTCTTTGAAAAATATATCGAGTTGTTTGCTAGTAGTCGCTTGTGTTATGGTGCTATCCATCCCAATGGGCGTCAACATTGGATTAAGAATAAACTCGCCAGAGACAAAAAATACTTTGGATAATGCAAACCTTGCAGCGTTCTGGGGCTAAAACCATAGGCTTCATGAATTGCACATTTAACTGTTTAATCTTCTACTGGAAAAACAAAGTGTTACGTACCGAAGGATGGAAAGTTCTGAAAAGCCTGCAAATATGTGGACGACGCATTCAAGTCCACCTTATCACAACCCGCACACCCGTTTACCTATATATATACATGAACTTACGGTTACAGCTCAACAGCTGGCCTCTGTAGCTCAGTTGGTTAGAGCCCTGCAGTGGAATCGCAGGGCCGTAGGTTCAATTCCTACCAGAGGACCTTGTGCTGCATTTTTCGCAGTCGTTCCTGGTCAGGTCTTAAAATGTATATAATCACTTGGATTACAATCCCTAGCATTCTAATATTAATTCCACCAAGTGAAGTGCAAGAAACCACATCATTTCAATCCTAGCCGCACTGTAATAACCCTTCTTCATAAAAAAAATTAATACGAAAGAAAGACAGTAGCTGTAACTAGGCTATATAAGGCACTGTTATGATTGTAATTTCATCCATTCCTGAAGATGACTAAAATTTTGTCGAATAAAACGTAGAAAAATAAAAATGATAGCGATATTAATTTTATTTTATTACAATTAACGACGTTTCGATGCTTCTTGCACTATTTTCAACGCATTTCCTTATACGATCGATCATGCACGGGGTTACATAGTCATAGATTGACCTCGAGTTTCGCCACAGAGAGCCCATCCCGGGTTTTATTGAACTTATCTATTAGAATTACGTATGAAATATATAGCTCAGTGTTGAAGCCTGCGATTGACGGGCTGTGTGCGGGCTAACGCGCGCGTTGAATACACAATATAAAAGAAAATATAAATAAAGCGATGAAACATCGACAGTGCCTGGAAGCCCAGAATTCAAAGCACAATATCAGTGTGTTTAAATAAAAAGGTCAGAGTTTTATTATGTTGTAAGGTCCACTAGGGCCTGTTCTTTCATATCGTCTAGCCAAAACCTTCCAAATAGTTGCTAACGAGGAGAAATTTTTCGATTGATCGCACAGCAGTGAACGGTTGGATGTGTCGGGATGTGTTCCACAGGTTGCTATGACATGCTTGAAATGCTTACTTATTTCCTACTACACACTCCACAGATCTCTAAAATCATGAAAAATATTAAATAGTATTGTAGCTATTGGCATATTCGAATATGAAACACATATAAAATTTTAAACACGTATAAAACACAATTTCAAAATTAGTGATCGGCCGTGAAAATTTCAAAAAATATATGAATTAACTTGCCAGTAAACCGCAATATTTTTTTATTTTGCAAATTAGTTGCAGATGACAAATTTTTAATCAGAAAGGTAATTTCTGAAAGAAGTTCTTTTGTTGAAATTTATAGAAACTTAAGTCGATAATTTGTCAATGTCATAGCAACCTATGGAACGCATGCTTCCAGGCACTCGTTGATGTTTCATCCTTTTATTGTTTTCTTTATTGTGTATTCAACGCGCGCGTTGGCCCGCACACAGCCCGCCAATCACAGGCTTCAACACTGAGCTATAAATTTCATACGTAATTCTAATACATAACTTCAATAAGACCCGGGATAGTCTCCCTGTGGTTAAAGTTAAGAATTATTCGTGTTTTGCTTTAATTATAACGGTCCGCGTGTTCGTGTCACGTAAACAAATAATTGCGCAAGCATGCAGAATTTTTACTAAATGCGCAAGACAAAATATATTAAAATATTAAAAACAACAAGAAACATTTAACTATTTACACATATTGTGCCCTGAAGGCTAGTTAGTACGTTTCTGTATGTTGGCCGCGTTAAAATTTCTTGTGGGCTCCTGCCAACACGTTTTTCTTCGAATGTTGTATTAAACTCTATTACAGTTAAAAAATGTGAAATTTCAAATACATTTGTAACACAAATGACTTACATCATTTGAAAGCTTGCACAAAACTACATATAAGACATTTAAACGGTTACCCGGGTTTTTCAAGTTCTTCTTCAGTTATGAGCTGTTGAATGCGTGTTTTCAGACTAGTACCCAGGAATTTTGCGAGATTTTGGCTTATTTTTCACATTTGAAACGGCAATAACTCGAAAACCGCTTGAAAATCCCAACTATAATGTAGTTTTTTGTTAGCTTTCTATTGATGCAAGTCATTTGTATCAGAAATGTATCAGAAATTTCACATTTTTTAACTGTAATAGAGTTTAATACAATATTCGAAGAAAAATGTATCGGCAGGAGCCCACAAGAAATTTTAACGCGGCCAACATACAGAAACGTACTTACTAGCCTTCAGGGCACAATATGAAGGCAAAATGGAATTGCCCCACGATATGGTAAGTTTTCCATAATTTTGATCCTCTATCTGCCTGACTAAGGATTGAAAACTGCTTTTCGATTCTGCGCAAGTGTCGAGGGAAGTATGAGTCCCTTCTCTACGAGATGCTTTACATTAGGGAACTGAAACCATCTTTGAACGAGTTCCGCCTCTGTACACTCTGTGGTTATAATTAAAGCAAAACACGAATAATTCTTAACTTTAACTTGAAAATGATGCAAGAAGCATCGAAACGTCGTTGTAATAAAATAAAATTAATATCGCTATCATTTGTTTCAAAGTTAATTTCACAAAAGATTTTAATAAAGAAAAATAGAAATGCTTTCATTATTTCAATTATTTCATTACATACAGGGTAATTTGCCATGTTCTTGTGCGTTAAGTATTGGGTATGTATATTTAATTTTCCCATCCTAATAAAGATTAAGCCTTTAACTATCGAATGAGACATTTTTCTATCATTGCGTTAAAAACTGAACTAACGTAACATGACCAATTTAAAATGGCCAATTTTTCTGCCGTTATATATGATAATTACATTAAAATTAATGTTGAAATTATTCTCTGAAAGAATAGTCAAAATTCAAAAGAATAACAAGGAATAACTGTCAAAAAATCCTCAAATAATCAAAATAAGAATAATCTAGTCTTGGCAATTAAATTTAGAGATGATTTAACTCGCGATTTATAGACGACGAAATTTTGTGGATAAAACGTTTTACGAAACCTGACGTTTGCAGAGAACTTGCAATGCCTATATAATGTTTCTCTCATATACAGCGACCTCCATTTGGGCAAATGTTTGAAAATTCTGAGAATATTTTGCTGCAGCAGAAATAGAAAAAATTGTATTCAACAGTCGAACATGTATATATCGACCATCTGCTCGCCATCACGGAGCATTGGAATTAGTCGAAACATTTATTTAGAAAGTAGTATATTGTATTATTACTTTCTTATTGTGAGTTGGTTTGGAATAATATATAAGAGATATATAGTTTCTAAAGTAAAAATCGAAAGCGAGACTCGAGCTTGTATTTCTTTTTATTTCGCAATTAAATACTCGACGAAACGTGCTTTTTCTCTTAATGGACCACTTGTACTTTCAAAACAAACTTTCATTTACATGTCTCACCATCGCACCTGTTTTCAAGTTGTTTTCGAAAAGGCAAAGCTGCAATCGCAAACTAAGGATATATGTTGAACGAGAACTATAGATAATCATGCACTTTACACAACTTTAAAATATCACATTTTTATACACTATGACTAGCAAAAAAACAAATTACCAAAATTAAAATATAAATTACAAAAATTAATAAACTTTTAGCATTGCACGTTTGAAATTATACAATAATAATACGAAAATTTCGATTGCAAATTTTATACATTTATTAATACCCAACCAGGAGTATAGTTATTACTGTTTGCAGTTATAGAACACAACTCGAGAGCAGGGCGAGACATTTGTTCTGAGGGACAGATGGCCCAAGCTAACAGCACATTTCATCTCAAGCCCTGGGCAAACTAGGAAATATTGTTGTGGAAACATTTGTGATTCTCGATGTTTCCTCAAATGTTTCCCTGTTTGCCCACCCTTGGAATCATTTTGCGGAAACAAAATTTGCTTCCCAAGAAACAAAAATATTTCTTAGCGAATTCAAAAACATTTCATGTTTCCCTATGTTTCTCACTTATGTTTTCTAGTGTTTGCCCACTCTTGGAAACGTGACGAATGTTTCCGCAACAATATTTCCTAGTTAGCCCAGGGCTTTACGCGTGCTCCGTATTGGTTAGGTACAGTGTGTGGCACGCGAGTAAAAACTCAGTGGTAGATCAGTGGTAAAAACCCGATATTTTGAAAAATTCAAAATAAATATTTCTACTCGCCGTATTCAAACATGAAAGTGCTTGAATACAAGGAGCATTTTACTCCTATTGACTTGGGGCGAATTCGAAACAGTTTAGGAGATATTCAAGTTTTTTTCGATATCGTCCCTCAAGCGATAAAACTGATATCGCCTCGCCCATCATGTGACTGCCTATACATATCATACTCCAACCCATTGTTAAATATTTGTATTTTCACCAGGTGATCAGAAATACACATAATTATATGCAATAGTCAATACGCAGTTAATTGAAAGAGTCCTGGTCAAACACTATTCAAAATACTTCTATACTAGGAGTAACCACAGGTTAAAAGTGCGACCAATGTCAATTGCACCACACTCCATAACGATATAAAAATTCTCCCTTTCTTGATATGTCACAATAAGTATAATAAGTATATACACTGGTGTATATAAAGCGTTGATATTGATAACTTGATATTAAAATGACATTGACAAGTAACACTACAATTCTATTATGTTTATGTTTATGTTTATATATCGACTTTATTTCGGCGCAAAACTGATATCATTTCGAATACCATCAAGGTCAGACTGAAATATAAACTAATATTAATAACAACTAAAATCTAAACAGTACAACTATAACTCAGCAAACGGTCATAGATAACAGACAATAACAGACAAATTTTCAAAACTACACTATAACACAACATGAATTGCAGTCCTTGCGAATCTTGATGACGGATTGCATATCAAAACAATATTTACAGATTTTAATTTATTTTGTGATACCAGTTATGACAAAGTGGTGCAAAATCCTTGAAGGATGGGATGGGTGATAATTTCAAAGTACTTTGCTGCAGAGATCATACACTTTTGCTTGTAAGTGACACAATGAGGCTTACTGATCCAAGCAGGAAACTATATGCAGACGAAGAGGTGAAAACCTGATTGGTCTATTTTCCCGCACGCATGGGAAGAGATTTGACAATGGTTTGTTGTTAATTCAGCATTGCGCTTTACACGTGTATGATCACACGGTTCACAGATTTACCTTTGTACTCCAGGAGACTTTGCACAACTTTACTCTTGTCCGAACGCTTGTTTCATTAACTTAAGTTTATAATGCTATGGGCATGTATAAACTTTTTTTTTCTGTGTTGGTGTAGTGTACTCAGGTGAATATGATATTTGTGGTGTTACTCTGAGTGTATATCCACACCGGGCGAGCTTGAAAAATATGCCCGGCCACGGTGGGATTCGAACCTACGACCTTTGGAATACTAGCCCAATGCTCTTCCAACTGAGCTACGCGGTCAAGACGGTTCGAGTAAGTGATATTTCGGAACAGTATCTAGTTCCTTCAATACCAATGTGTTCTAGTAATATGAATTTTT